CCTCCACGACTATATTATTTTATTAAAGAAAATCATGTAATAGCACATTCTTCTGTGTAAGTAATTTCACAGATGAATAGTGTGTAATCAGTTTCGAACCAAATATTTACTCAGAACAGAACAAAGATTTTAATTATGGTATTATTCATACAGGTAGAATGTATAATTTTTCAACATATTCAGTTTACTAATATTTTATATGGCTCTCATAAATTTTATTTATCAGCCCTTGAAGACAAGACAATTAGAATAATAAAGATTGTTTTCATTCACACCAGAAACCTGAAAGAGTTTGCTTAATGGCATCTCTATTTTCCCTTCGATTCCTATTCACGGAATTTGCCTCTCCTTTTACTCTCATCCTGTGTCCTTGAGATATTTCTCGTTTCCTTATATGTTTCTTCACCCGATTTCGAATTTCTTCTGGTGCAATTGTTGCTGTACTTGTGACACTGTAAATAACACTTTGAGCACATCCTCCTACTTGGCTATTGGTTTCTTTTGCATGATCTTGTAGACTTCTTTCTTTTTCTACTTCATTTACTTCCGAATTGTCAGTGTTCATTTCCTGATTATCTTTTGAAATTTTACTTTGGGTTTCTATCTTCAGAATCTCAAAGCTTTCATCAATGCTATTATCATCAATTAATATTGGTGCATCATCCTCTAATTCAGTTTGATGAGCCTCTTCTAAAAACTTCTGCATCATAGAACCATGTTTTGGAAGGTTTTCAATATTTATTTGTGCAGGTGTATTACTACAATAATTTGGTTCATCTTCTTCCTGTGCTATTTCAGACATATCATTCTCTTCTATATCATTTCCAACCTCATCTTCATTCATTAATTGAATAGCCTGTGTATAACAATAGTTTATATAAAAGATAAAACTAGAAGTATGGAAAGACAAGAAATACACACTGATTTACTTTCTCATTTAGATCTACTGTAATAATCATTAAGTTCAAAATATAATGCCATAGGTAAGAAAGATTGAGAAATTACTTACAGTACAAAAAGCTTTTGCTTACCAGTCAAATGATACTAGTAAGTTTCATAACTCTGTCTATTTTCCTTAAAATCACCTATCAAATAAAACTAACTGAAATATTCAGATTGAGATCTTGTTTTGATGTAGTTTTTATTAAATTTGTTTTAGATAAAGTAATAAAATCGAAAAAGTAAAGTTTTAACTAACTGCACTTTTTTGTTTTACAATTACCAAGCTTCTAAATCTAACAAGAACATAAGTATATTGTTCGATAGCTGGGATTATTTTCTTCTTCACAATCTATTTGCTTTAGAGCTCCTTTTTTGTCATTTAATGGAATGTAAGTTTCTAAACATGTATTTACTATATCAGAACCCTTTCGGGATTAGACATTTTATAGCAATCCACCAATATCATAGTTTGGGTTCTTATATGCTAAGTAATTGTAATATCTTTAATGATTCTCATGCTTCGTTATTTTGCTGAAGTTATACTCTGGTAGTTCTTTCTGCTTTAACAAAAAACACCTCATAATTTCACTCTTGTAATATATTTTTGGTGGACTTCACCTTCGTACGAGCTTAAAGATTAGCAGGGACTTTTTCTCATGCTTCGTTATTTTGCTGAAGTTATACTCTGGTAGTTCTTTCTGCTTTAACAAAAAAACACCTCATAATTTCACTCTTGTAATATATTTTTGGTGGACTTCACCTTCGTACGAGCTTAAAGATTAGCAGGGACTTTTTCGAAACAGAATTTCTAAAAGGATTATATTAGTAATTTTTATAGACAAGATATAATGAAATAAATACTATAGACTTGGTTTTCATGATATACATTCTTTTAATAAAATAAACTAACACATGATGTCATTACACTTGTGACTATTTGAATAATAAGTTTGCCTGGCTTTCAGTTTAATGAATATGGACATGTTGCTTATTTGCACAGCATCTTATTTCATTCTAAACACCAAGTTTACAAAAAAAAATCAAAATCAGGTTCAAAAATGTTCAGTGGCATGTTTTAAGTTTCAATTCTGAGTTACTAATTTTAATGAAAGCAACTACAGATATAGATGAAATAAAGTCACCAGGCTGGAAAGCATTAAGCAATTTTTTTAACTGAGAAAGAAAAATATTTAAACTAATGATAGATAAGGAGAAGTAATTTATATAAATTAACTGCTACACTTGACTTATACATGTTGTACCATTATCATCCATCATATCCTACTTTATAACACTGAAAATTAATTGATCTAGTTCTTAAACAATAGTAAATTTTTATGATCAATAGAATTCAGAAATTCTAAGTTATTGACTGCAACTTTTATTTTACCAAAGTTTTTAAGTGCCTATATATTCAGGTTTAAAAAAAAATGTAAATCTTAAAAGCTCGATCTGACACGTATATTCGACTTACTAATTTTGAATTTATGAACATGGATTAAACAAATAATTTATAAAATGCTGATTATTTTGTTTCATAGCCAAATATCCATTAATTTCCTGTATGATGCTTTAATAGCTCTTTCAGTGTTCTTTCAATAACGAGCCATCTGGATAAAACTATAACCTAAAATGGTGGCAACAAAATACTTTGTTTTCATTCTCCATCCTGCTCTTCCACAATTAAAAAATAACAACGATTAAAAGGAAATGAGTTCTTTTGTTTATATGGCCCCAAACTATTTCTTGTTAGTAATCAACTGGCCCCAAAAAGCAAATACCATTTCTTGCTATAAGACAACTAACTCCAAAAAAGTAAATCTTGTGGGTTCTTTTCTAGTAGCCAACTAGCCCAAAAAAAGCAAATATTGAATTTTCTTGTAAGTGAACTAGCCCAAAAAGTACAAACTGTACGTTTCTTGCTGGTAGTCCACTGGCCTCAAAAATGCATAGTGTGCATTTATTGTTAATTGTACATTGGCCCCCTAAAAATCATAGTGTATATTTATTTTTAATAGTCAACTAGCCCACAAAAAGTTCATATTGCGAGTTTCTTGTTAGTAGTCAACTAGCCCACAAAAAGTTCATATTATGAGTTTCTTGTTAGTAGTCAACTAGCCCACAAAAAGTTTATATTGTGAGTTTCTATTTAGTAGCCAACTAGCCCACAAAAAGCTCATATTGCAAGTTTCTATTTAGTAGTCAACTAGCCCACAAAAAGCTCATATTGCGAGTTTCTATTTAGTAGTCAACTAGCCCACAAAAAGCTCATATTGCGAGTTTCTATTTAGTAGTCAACTAGCCCAACAAAAAGTTCATATTGTGAGTTTCTTGTTAGTAGTCAACTAGCCCACAAAAAGCTCATACTGAGAGTTTCTATTTAGTAGTCAACTAGCCCACAAAAAGCTCATATTGCGAGTTTCTATTTAGTAGTCAACTAGCCCACAAAAAACTCATATTGCGAGTTTCATTAGTAGTCACCTGAACCAAAAAAGCACATATTGTAATATCATTTTTGTAATACTATGAATGAATCTCAAACCTCTTCTAAATCCTCTTGGAGTTCTTTGGAAAAACCACTTGCTGCTGTGCTAAAGTCTAGGGTGTCTTCCCGTCTAAACAAAGATTTCAAAACTTAGACAAATTGTTCCTCAACAAAACATTATATAGTGCTCAAGTTACTTTTCCAGAACTGTAAGATTTTCAACCTATACAACATGACATGATTTGAACTATGCACATTTCAAAATATATAATTAATGTTTTGAACTAAATGGAAAAAAATTACTTTCTTATTTGAAAGATTGTTTTCATTAGAAAAACTCTTAAAATAACAGTTAAAAAACGCATTTTCCAATAATTATGCATGTTTTCTGAGGCATAAGTGAAAAATAAAAAATGGCTACAGGAAAGTGCAAGAGGAAGGTATGTAAAGATACATTATCTGTTTCTATAAATATATTCATGATGACTTTTCTACTATTTACATTATAATATTTCCAAGATAACAATGATTAAGAAAAATCAAGACTTACTGTATGTCCGCAAAAATTGGATAAAGCTCACTTTGAAAGTCAAACCGTTTCTTAAAAAACTCCCGAACACAAGCCACATCACGATCAAAATACCTGACAATAGAAATTTGTAAACTTTACAAAAGAAAAAAACCTATTTCTTTTATTAATATATAGATAAATTTACAAAACTACTAATCAACATTAAAGTGATATGTCTAAATGGATTTCATACACAGATCTTCCTGTACTGAAATCTTAAAATATAAAAAATGATGTAAAATACAACACAAAAATATCAAATAAAGAACTAAAAACCATATGAATAATAAAAGATTTGTAGCTTATAAGTTCCATGGTTCTCAACCTCTCATTTGTGGACCCCAAGGAACCCACAATGGTAAATATCCAAATTCCACATTATAGTTTTTTTTAAAAAAAAGAGAAGTCATATTATGTTTGATTAAATGAAAATAATGTTTGACTTGAAATTTCATTGACTTATTTATGGCAGTGCTGCTTTATACCCATAGGATCAGCTTCTGCAGATAGAACTATCTGAAATGTCATTTATAAAATTTTAAATATAGTGATTACTTGAAATTTATAGAGGTGAATACTGTTTTCAAACATAAAGCTACTTTCTAACATTTTATATATGACACAAAGCCTGCATCAGGGCTCACAGATTTAAAGGATGTACATACAAGTTCTTTTTTTGTCAACAAAAACAGCCAAGTAAAAATTGCAAACTTGTAAGTTGTTTGGAGAATCTACCTTACTGCATGTTCATTGTTTGTACATGTTAGGGCAAACACTTTTAAATCCAACTTTGCAGACCACACTAGCCAAAAAACAACAACACAATATTACTGTTTTACCAATCATGTGACAATCGGAAATCACCGAGTGACGTTGACGATGTCATTGTGTATTATTATTGATACTTTAACCTTAAAAATTTTAACAGCTACAGAGAAGCTTCATTAAATGTACCATTAAAAAAATCCCGATCTCTTATGAAACATAAAAATTGGGACTGATCTTGTGGCCAGTACGTGATTGATACATAACGTTATGTGGCCAGTACGTGATCGATACATAACGTTATGTGGCCAGTACGTGATCGATACATAACGTTATGTGGCCAGTACGTGATCGATACATAACGTTATGTGGCCAGTACATGTTATGTAGGCAGCACATTTTGTTTTACCCACCATCAGACCCAAAATTGAACAAAAAACGTGGCCTGGTTAGCTAATGAATGAATATTTGCTGTAAAAATCTTATCAATGCTATACGTGTAGCTACAAATTTGGCCACCAATTTTGATTTCATTACTTTAAGTCGCATGCTCAATCCTTTTTTGCCACATCTAAGGTGTTTTTGATTAGATTTATAAATAAAGGGACTGTCAAATGATGAAATGGAATGTTCCATAGTTGTCCAATAGGTTGTTTATTATGTATATACCTGTTTACCACTTTCAACTTATAGTTACATGCACAATTCAAACAACTGACACCCCCCCCACCCCTTATTGGAAAGTAATGGGGCATTCCAAATTTCCAATCGCTCTGCTGTCGTGCGATCTTTCGACGACTTCCCCCAAACAATGAGCTAATTAATACACAGTGCTGTACTAATGGCAAGCCACATGGCATGTCATCCCGAGAACTTAACATGGAACAAAAAGTTACTCATGCTTTAGAGAGAAATTAATGATAATATATGAAATAAAACTCATTTAAGTGGTCTGAAAAAAAAAGGGTTTGACTTGTGTTTTTTTTTCATGAAATATAAGTTCACAACAAAATATCATTGTTGAATTCTTTAAATTTACGTAACATCCTCTATTCAGATTTTTCTGATAACATCCACATTTTACAATGAGCTATAGGACTGGCCCCCAAAAAATGCACATTTTGGGGGCCTGGCTGGCTCCCAAAAAATGTTAGGTGTGAGCCCTGCATTGTATATCCTAACCTCACATTTTATAGCTAAGTGAAATAAATAAATTTGCGAAACCAAACTTGACCAACAAAGAAGCAGAACGAGGTAGTTAAATGTTGGTAAATTCCTTCAATCAAAATTAAGATCATTCATGAAATGAATTCGTGCTGATCTAATCTATATAAAAGCCAGTGTATGTCACATCATGCTTGATTTCTTGAAAATGGAGAAGTTATAAAAGTCAACATGCATATATCCATACAGGATAGTTCAATTACTGTCTACCCATAGTGACAGGGGTGCAAGGGGACCGTGAGGGGAGGAGAGGTGCATGAAACCTTATAAATGTAGTGAGTGTTGGTATAATAAGCCTAAAGTAAAAGTGTGGAATCACCTAGCCTAGAACAAAGTGTATAACATTTATCATGAAAGTAAAAATATCGATTCAGTTTTAAACTTAAATCGATTTTGACTTAAGCTATTTTCTGTCATATCATAAACGTTTTTAATAAAAAAAACAACTAACATCTTTAATCAACGGAGACGATAAATAATAAAAATCAACAAATATTTTTCCAGTTTTGTTGTCTATACATTTTATTTTAAACTTTCAGTACATAGACTAATAACAATATTAGTTTATACTTTTGTTGTTAAGCAACATGACATAAAAGCCATTGTTGAAACATAGTGTTACCAAAAATGCACTGGCTTTTCTATATATTAGAAGTTGTTAATCTAACTGATTTTTACCAATAATTATTCTATGAATACGTTAGAAATTATGCGAAAAAATATTAATAGTAGTATTGTTTGGAAACAGAATGTTGATCTTATGTCTTGGCAATGTGTCTTTTTATCTATCTGTCTGTCTGTCCATCAAAATTTTCAAAGGGCTGTAGTTTGGTCAAGTAGTCACACATGTTGGGGTTGAACTGTGTTTGTAGAAATTAGGTCTTTAAACTTCTTCTCCCAAAGATTTCGTTTGATCGTTATCAAAGTTAGACAAAGTAATAAATGGATATATGTGCATAAAAGTTGTATATAATTCTTAGGTCAAAGGTCATTTGGGGTCAGGAGGGAGCAAAAGCTAGAAATTTTATAAAGCACTTGTTCTCTTTATGTGTAAGTCTGATCTTTATCAAAGTTGGATAAATTAGTAAGTGGATAGAGATGCCTGAAATTTGTTCATGGTTTGTAAAGTCACCAGAGGTCAAATTCTGGAAACCTGTAAAATGTTTGATTTTGTTTGATCCTTCTCAAAGTTAGATAACTTAAGTGGAGAGAGGTGCCTAAAAGTTGTAAATGATTTTCAGATCAAACGTCATTTGGGGTCAGAAGGGGGCAAAACCTAAGAATGTTATTAAGGTCACAGGGTATTTTAGATCAGAATGATACTTCTTTTTTTTTTTTAATATGAAAACTGACGTACTGTTACTTCATAAGTCTCATTGGTTAAAGTTAATACTTACCTACCTGATAAACATAATCTGGAAAGATAGGCCAGCTTCTGAATCCCCCAGTGAAAAAAAAATAATGCCATATTTACTAAACTACTTGGAAACTCATTTCTATTCCATTAACATTAATGTGTACCGTGGCCTTTTTTTTGGCCTTGGCACCCTTGAAAATCAGAGAAGATCCAAGGCCAAATGGCCTTGCCCTAAAAATGATGAATTTCCTGGCCTGACCTTTAACCTTGTTTTTTTGCTGTTGGTTGCTGATCAACTTTAAGCCTAATTTTTTGTTGTTGTTATAATGATGGCACTAGTACACTAAATAATTTTTACTTATTTAAATAATACACCTCAGAATAATAACACACACAAAGCAAACAATGTCCTATAACTATCATAATTTACTTGTTTTCTAACTAGCACAAAAGTGGCTTAAAATAATTATCTTAATACTTAATCTGAACACTGTAAGATGAACTTTCAAATTGAAGATGAAATAGATAAAATACTCTGTACTGTAAACAACATAGCATTATACATCATTCAACAGGTTACAGTTTTGGCTTTTAATCTGTTATAAATGATATAGAATAAAACGTAAGAAAATTATTGGCAATTTGTGAGAGACAGGATATGACAAGTGGGTCTGATTTTCTAGTTTATGACTCTGTAAACAGATAATATTGTAGACTATAGAATTAGACTTTGCCTGAGTAATATCTATATTATAATGAATAATTTACATTAAATTCTGTACTTCAAAGATGGGTGGTAAAGAAACTTGAAAAGCGGAAAGACCTACAGAACAAATATTATTTTCATACAAGAGGAGTTTGAGGATTTATTGAAATATTTCCTGATAAAATTAAGAACTTAAAATATAGTTAATAAATCAAATTTTAATATAAGTTTTAAGTACCTCATTTTATATAGAATTATTTTTAAAAACCTCAATCTCCCCTAGTATTTTTACATTTGCTTCCTAGGTCTCCCCTCTTTTTTAATTTATGTACCCCTCCAAGAAGTACAGAATTTAGGGTAAACTACTCATTATAATATAGTTATTACTCAGGCAAAGCATAATTTCTATAGCCTTTAATCATTTGTTTACAAAACCATAAACGAAAAATCAGATTCCCTTGCCATGCTACCTGTCACATCCTCTTTTTCACAAATTGTCAAGAGCTCTCTCTGATGTTTAATACTAAATTATTTATAACCAATAAAAAGCCAAAGTTTGAATCTATTAAATGATGTATTTTATTACTTTTTTTTTCAGTACAAAGAGTTATCTATTTCACTTCCAGTTTGAAACTTTATTCTCATGAGAAATACACTATTAACATAGCTGAATTTTAATGACTCTTAACAGATAGTTAAAAAGCCAGAAAAATTATGATAATTATAGGACATTGTTTGCTTTTTATGTGTTATTATTCTGTATTCTTATGTGCATTACTTAACTCTTTGATTACAACCTGGGTGTACTGCACCCAGCCTGTAATCATGAAAGTACTTATAATGTAAATTCTGATAATGTATACATATTTTCACGAAATTTCACAGATTTTCAGTAAACATTGCAAAGCCTGTGTACACAAAATATCAGATTTTTTAAATTAAAGATCTGCTCATGAATTTTTCTCTTTTGACATGTTGGCTATCCAACATGAAAAGTAATTTTTATTTTAAAATTGAAAATACTTTTCTTCATCTGAAAATTGTCAAATTTCTTTGCATAATCTCTATAACCTCCTAAGTAACTATCGGATGGTTTTTTTCTAGAAAAACTTTTAAATTTTATCTGTTATTTTTTACCTTAACTCTATAGGATTGGTTGATTTGACTGACCTTGTAACCATCATAAGTAATTAGGAAATATATATAAGTTACCATTTTTTCTTTTCTAGAATGACTGCAAATTGTAACAGGAAACCACAAATGTTTATTCTAAATAGCTTAAATATCATAACAATATATATGTATTATAATAATAGTGCCATAACAAGTCATGCTGTGCACATGCAACTCATGTTACCATATTGAATAGCATAAATCTGGCCTTTGCAAAGTACAAATGTCTTAGTCTTTGTACTAGTGTATCAGTATTTTGTAAAATACTGTAGCATTTTGGTTATCATACATTAGATATATATATATATATATATATATATA